ATAGAGCTGAGGCTCTAAACAATCAAATCACAAAAATTTCACAAAAAGAGGTTGTTTTGATGCCCAAATATCCTCAAATTGATCATCGCAACATCAAGATGTATGGACATTAGAAAAAAAGGGATTTCAAGTTTTGAAAATAGTGTATTTTGTAAAGTATTTTTTATCCTTCAATTTTCAAAATTTTCAAGTTTTCATAGATGTCAATCTACACTATTTTTGAAGCTTTAAACTTTATAAATAACTATGAAATTATATTTTAAGGCTATCACAAAGATTTCCAGTATTGAAACCACATTTCTCGATATTATTTGAAGGTATGCTCTCGATACTATTTGAAGGTATGCTCTAATTTGATTGTTTAGAGCCTAAGCTCTATACAAACCACACCCATATGTGTGTGTGTGTTTTATATATGGGAAAAGATCTTGTCAACATATTAGCCGATGGAATAATATAAACCCAACGTTTCAAATTGAATATGAGCCAATTTGATTGTCACGATTGTATTTCATATTCGAATTTTGTTTTTTTTATATATAAATTCAAATTACTTGAAATTTGTGTATATTCTTCTCATCAATGAACATCTAATAAAAATATTAAAAAAATTATTAACAGAAAATAAGTTGACCAAACTACCTCTATAACTTATAAAGATATTTTGGTTAATTTATTTTATATGAATAATTTTTTAATAATTTTTTGAGTTTCACTTATTTTTCAAGAGTAGACGCTCAAAATTCCAAGTGAATTTAGATTTGTCAAAAAAATATATCAAAATTTAATTACTAAATGCAATCGTGACCATTGGATCATATCATATTCAATTTTGGTCGTTGGTCATTTAATGTAGTTCTCAATTGTTGGGGTCGGATTGACCCGGATCCTACGAAAATGGGATCCAGGCGGGGTCGAACCGGCCGCACGGCCACCTATATTTTGTGCACTAGGCATGTGTACCTGAGGTACTTGAGAACGCAAGGGATCTAGAATTCTAGATCAGTAGACAGTAGTACATGAAAATGAAATGCGCAACTGGGCTCAATTGGAATTCTGTAGAAGTGCCATTCGTATGGCAAATGGCAAATATTATCTAGATTGGTCCTTGACCTCTCTGAGCCATCTCCTTCTTCCTCACTTATTGTAGTTCCACACTTGCACCTGTGTAACAAAACTTTGATCTCCTTGTTCCATTCGACAAATGAAACAATTTGATATTTGCAATTTACATGAAACTATTCAAAACCAATGCATTCCACTCCCTTTATTCTATAACTACCACCAATGTAGACTCTTACATGATCAAAACAGGCTTTCTCCCAAGCATATACAAATGGAACCATCTGATAAAAACTCTAATTCAAAAAGGAAATTTGTTAAAGGCTCAACAAGTGTTCAACAAAATGCCCCAAAGGAATATAATCTCTTGGAATTCATTGATTTCTGGATATATTAAAGGGGGTGATTTAGTCGAAGCTCAGAAGCTAATTGATCAAATGAAAGACCGGAATGTGGTCACATGGACGGTCATGATTGCCAGCTATTCATCATTGGGCGATCGCCACATGGCATTTGAGCTCTTTTCTGATATGCAAAAATCTTATGTGAAGCATGACCATGTAACCATAACCACACTTCTATCTGCTTGTAACGATAAATTGGCTTCTAGTTTGGTTATTCAGTTGCATACCCAAATCGTTAAACATGGGTACGGAGCCATTTTTGTAGTTAGTAATACTTTGATTGATTCTTTTGCAAAATGTGGGCTCATTGAATATGCTCAAAGAGTCTTTGATGAGATTCCTCGAAGGGATTGTGTATCATTTAATGCTTTGATAATGGGCTATTTGAAAGATGGAATTCTTCAGAAGGCCTTGAATTTGTTTGTTCAAATGAGAAATTTGGGAGTTAAGCCTTCTGAATTCACATTTGCCGCTATTTTGAGTGCTGTCTCTGGAATGGATGCTTTGGGTTTAGGAATGCAGGTCCATGGTTATGTGATCAAGGCTAATTATGGGTGGAATTTGTTTGTTAACAATGCTATACTTGATTTATACGTTAAGAATGAGAAACTAATTGAAGCAAAGGAATTCTTCAATGAGATGCCTGAATTCGACGGTGTCTCTTATAATATTCTTATCACTGGCTATGCATGGAATATGCAATGCAAAGAGTGTATAAATCTCTATAGAGAACTACTATTGACAAATTTCAAAAAGAAAAATTACCCTTTTGCTAGTCTACTAAGCATGTGTGCGAATTTGCCAAATTTAGAGATGGGCATGGAAATTCATGCACAAGCTATTCATTGCTCAGCAGATGAGGATGCCTTTGTTACGAATGCTCTGGTAGATATGTATGCCAAGTGTGGGGACTTGGAAGATTCAAAGAGATGTTTTAGGGACGGGATTGAGTTCTCTGTGTCATGGACGGCCATGATTTCAGGGTATGTACAAAGAGGATTTCACCATGAAGCCTTGGAATTATATGCAGAGATGAGGAAAGAAGATGTGTGCTCTGATCCACCCACTTCCTCTAGTGTTCTTAGGGCTTGTGCTAGTTTGGCAACTATAGGGGTTGGGGAGCAAGTGCACTCATACTTGGAAAGATCTGGTTTTTTGGCAAATGTACATTGTGCGAGTGCTCTTCTTGATATGTATGCAAAATGTGGATTTATAGACCAGGCAAGGCAAGTTTTTAAAGAGATGCCAAACCGAAATGTAGTCTCTTGGAATGCCATGATATCTGCTTATGCACAAAATGGGTATGGAAAGGCTGCTGTTGAACTCTTTGATGAAATGGTTAAATGGGGTAGAAAACCAGATTCGATAACCTTTCTAAGCCTTCTCAATGCATGTAATCATGCGGGGCTAGTTAGAGAAGGCTCAAATTACTTAAAATTGATGACCCAAGTGTATGGTGTTGAGCCTAAGCGTGAGCATTATGCTTGTATGGTTGATATTCTTGGGCGAATTGGATGGTTAGATGAAGCCGAAGAGCTTATAAATAAGATGCCATTTGAGAGTGATGATATTATATGGTCTTCGATTTTGAATTCATGTAGGATCCATGGAAATCATGCATTAGCAAAGAGAGCAGCAGACCATTTGTTCAAAATGGAGCTCAGTGATGGAGCACCTTATGTTCTCATGTCCAATATATATGCAGCTTTGGGTAGGTGGGAAGATGTAGCGAAGGTGAAGAAATCCATGAAGGACCGTGGAGTAAGAAAAGAACGCGCTTACAGTTGGGTAGAGATAGAAAGGAAAACACATTCATTTTTAGCCAATGATGATTCACATTGTCAAATAGATATCATCAGAGAAATGCTACAGATGTTGTCTGAACATATAAAGATGGAAGGGTATGACCCTGATACTGGATATTTGTCTCATTTATGTGAATGAGGGATGATTAAAGCAGTTTCCACCATTTTAGAGATGGAACTTCTTTTTAAGGTAATATTCCAATAAAAAATGTTCTTGTTCTTAAGGTATAATTAATGTGCAGTTCCGCTACAAAGAGAGATTTTTTTTCTTATACTTTTCTTAATCATAACTGCCTTGTTATTTGATTAATAGCAATGAAATTCTTGCCATATGCATATAATATTCAACTCTTTTTCTATCCGTTAATTTTAATTACAGTTTGTTCCATCTATTTTAAGGCGAGATGTACTATAACCAAATCAATACTGGAAACTCGTAGACCATTTGAATCATCGCCATCCATTATAATGATGGAACGCGATGGAGTGAGAGTGGAATCCACTAGAATATGACATGATCCAAATGTTGGATTCCACTTTCTCCATATCCATCACCATCCAATGGTATAGAGTACGATGATGATGACCCCAATGCTATATGGTTTCATAATCCATCTAATTATTTCATGCTTTTCCGCGGTTTTTAATTAAAAAAGTTTTTGGGTGCCTAGGTTTGATGAATTTAAAAAGATTCATTGGTAGCCAAATCACCATGGTCTAAAAGTCTGCAAAAGAAAATCTGAGTTCTACAGTAAAGGGTTCTGAAGAAGACATGCTTTAGTGTTCAGACTGATGAATGATGATTTCAAAAATCACTTTTGACTTGTAAAAGTTCTGGAAATTTCGGGACCCATTACTGCCTTAAAAATTTTTGGCTCCCCATAGTCTAGCTTAATTTCAGATATACTTCTTAATTGCAATCCTTGTATTTATGTGGAATAAGCTTGGGGCTATTATCTAATAAAAGTTTTAGCATAATAAGTAAGATTCAGCAGCTTTATCTCCTAGTGGATTGGCATTTGAGCCAAAAACAGCTATCGTCAGAATCATAACAATAAGTTTCTCTCTCAGAGAGAGAGAGAGTACAATTAGAAAAATGTGTTCTACAATGCCTGAGACACTTCTGGTCATTATTCAATTTTCATAATCCTCTTTTTCTCAAGTCATTTCTGTCAATAGTTAAAGCTGTTTCAAGCCCCAAAAGATAATCTCTACCCTCTACTTTTCAAAGTCCCTCCCCCAACTTTTGTCATCCTCAAAGAACCCCTCTGGCCCATTGCCCCTACCAAAAGCCTACTTTCCCTTTATCCCTTTGCCCTTTTGATTAAAAGAAAACATAACCCACCACCCCAAAAACCTCTCTAATTCCTTACTTTGCTTCATATTGACCTTTCCTCTTCCCCACTTCTCCTCAGATGCTCTCCATCAACCAAATTAGAGACCAGTTTCTCTTTCTTAACATCTGTCTTCACTCCAAACCCCAAAAACCTCCATTCCGTCTCACCTAAGAAATGAGCAACCACCGAACCCACTTAACAGAATCCGGTCAAAAGTCACCGGGTTCCAGTCAAAATTTGCCTGAGTCTGGCCAAAAGGCGCATGAACCGGGGCACCAGCAGCTAAAGCCAATATCTGGTCATCGATATCGCTCATCCGACATAGTACTCCGGAAACCTCCACCAACCAATTTCTTTATACGGTGCGGTGCAGTTTTCTGCATAATTTTCATCATTCTTCTCATCCTTGGAGGGATCATCACTCTGGTCATATACTTAGTCATAAAACCAAAGCACCCATCTTTCGAAATCTCGAGTGCCACCCTTAACAGCCTCTATATCGACTCCCCTCAAAACCTGAACAGTGATTTCACTTTCCTTGCCAATTTCTCTAATCCCAATCGAAAAATTGACATCCAGTATGAATATTTGAGCTTGGATTTATACTTTGGAGACACCCTTATTGCTACTCAGGCCATTAATCCTTTCTTTCAGAAGAGGGGGGTGTTGAGCTTGGCTTCTGTTCAGATGATATCAAGTGAGGTTTATTTGAGTCAGAGCTTGGCTAAGGAACTTAGGAATCAAATTCAGAACAACAGGATCACCTATGATATTAGAGGAACTTTCAGAACCAGGGCTGTTTTCGGTATTTCACATTTCACGTACTGGTTGTATGGGCGTTGCCGGATTGTGCTTACAGGACCTCCTAGTGGTATTATTGTTGCTCGGTATTGCAGAACAAAGCAATAGAGATGGTTTCACACACTTTCGTTTTTTGTGTCTCTCTCTTTGAATTTTGTTTATCTCTTGATTTTTTTGTTCCCTCATAGTTTTCTATTTATTTCAGTTTAGCGAAGTGGCTCGCTTTTGTTGTGAGGCCCGTTTTAGATATGTTTATCTGCCTTCTCTGTACTTGTAAAATTCTTTTGGTTGTAAAGATCAGCGTCTTTATGGCCTAGCACTTCAATAAATATTTCATATAAGTCTAATCTTTGATTTTGTTTTTATTCTACTTCTTATTTTTTAAAATGGTGATTTTCTAACTACAAAGCATGTTTCGTTCATGTTTCTCTTGGAGATTTTATTCTTCAATTCTTAATTTGTTGTAGAGCCTTGACAAATATAAGGAAATTAAGAAAGATCAGATAGTAGACTTCCAGATATGATATGAGAAGTGGAATTCATTATCCCATGCTTTTCCCTTTTTCTCAATTTTTCATAAAGGTCAATTATATAATCCAAATCTATCTTGTATCTCTCTGGTTCACATTTCCCTCATCTACCTGCAAAATTCTTTAATTTCTTGGAATTTCTTATTTGATGAAAATCAACTAGAACTACCATTAGACTGTTATCTCACTTCAATAAAACCAACAGATGACATTCAAGCTGAACGCCTGAAACAAAACAAAAAACGGATGTCATCATGGAAATAATTCAAAACAATTATTTATCATAGAGGGCAAAACTAACTGATTTTTTTATGCATGCTAGTAATTTGTATTTTCCATTTTATATTCAAATTTTCACTTTATCACTTTTATTTCCCGCATCTTAATGTTACTTGCGTGAGGGCAAATGGCCAGGCAAAGGAATCAATGGACCACTTTCCTTGACTCAAGGTAGAGAGAGAGATTTTGAAAATTAGGGGCGGGAGAGGGAGGGGAGAGACCTATAAATCAATGTTTGAAAATGAGATAGAGAGAAAGAAAGAGGTTTCAATCAATGTTCAAAAAGTGGGAATCATGCTCTCATTTGCTGGATGTCGGAGCTTAAGTCCCCAATCTCGGGCAAGACTGCATAATTTACAGTAAGAAAATATAAAGATTTTGAAACATTTGGTAGAATAGGGTAGTGTGCTTCAACCCGAAATCACATAGCTACCTCAAAATCCCAATCCAACTTTTCTTACTCCTGCCCGGCTTGACGATTATTGAATTTCTAAAACGGTGAGGTTTGTATATGGTGCCAACCTTAAACAATCACGATAAAGTGTACCTCAAAATTCTATTAAAGTGTACCTCAAAATTCTATTATAAGATATATTTTAGGTGTCCAAACTTTTTATGATAGTCTTAAAATGTATTTTTTTACCCTTATTATAAAGATTTTTTTAGACGGACTGGACAAGATTTCATGGTCTTACCACCAAGACCCCTACGTCCTTGTATATGCTTAGTAGGCTAAATATTACTGGTCTAAATATTCAATCTCAGAGAGACTTTGCAAAATTCCATGGTCTTATTACCAAGACCCCTACGTCTTTTCTACATGTTCAGTTCTCTAAATATTACAAGTCTAAATATTGCTGACTTATCAAGATTTCATGGTCTTATTACCAAGACCACTACGTCTTTTCTGCATGCCGAGTAGGGGCCAAGACAGGTCTCATTCGGCCCAACTAAAAACAAAAAAGTGGAAAAAGAAAAAAAAAATATAGCCTCCAGCCAGGCCAGCCCTGTCATGGCAGCCCACACCCGTCCCGGCCTTTTGGGTCGTAGTGGACCCAGGCCCACCGGGCCTGGGCGAGTTGTACCCCTAATGTTCAATCGTATTTTCAAGCTGACTATTCTATCCTTAAGTGACGACCAAAACAACCCCACCTAAGAAATTGCCAAATTTCTCATTCATTTCCGAGAAATAAGCCCAATTACCATTTTATTGCACACTTTCAACAGCTGATTCATGATCTGTAATCACCAATAAGCAACAAAAGCAACATAGGAATGCTAGGATTAATTAGTGTCCCAAAACTTTGATTGATGTGGAGGACCGTTCACCCATAGATATGTGTTGTATTGATAGATCAATGATCCAGATTTGGTCTGAATCGATCTGGTGGTGATTCAAAAAAATTAAAATAGAGATCTATGGGAGAGGATTTAGGGGGACCTAACGATAAGCTTACAAAAAGAAATATAATATATATTAGCTGGAACCCGGACAGGACCTATACCATCCCAAAACCAATTTAATCCCTATTAATCCCCCCATCCAAATCAGGGATCTGGATCAGAAATCACCAGGTTTTGAAGCACTAGTTAAAATAATAATGATAATCTTCTTTAACTTACTAGAAAAACATTTATAAACAAAAAGTTCCGTTAAAATCACTGAAAAAAATGCTCAACCATATGTGGAAACCCAAAAATACCCATTTCAGCTTTTAAGACATTACGTACTACCAGTCTACAACACGAAGTATACTAGTGGTATACAATAGGCTTGCTACACTGGTGAACCCATCTCATTGTCTCTCTCTCTCTAGCCAGCTACAGGTTACAAATGAGCCTGTGCATGCTCAGGCTTGTGTGTGTATTCATAGTCAAGGTGTACAAAGGCTCTCTCTATCTCAGGCAGAAGTTCTAGTTTCTCTTGCAGTGACTCCCCAATGTCATGGGCCTCTTGCAAGGCCATATCAGCTGGCAAAACAATGTCCACTTCCACAAAGTAGTGAGAGCTAAATGTGTAAGCTCTCACCGTGTCAATGTGTTTGATTGCCTTGTGATGGTTCCAGCAAAGGTAAGTTAGCTTTTGCAAGTATTCGGGTGCAGCCGATCGCCCGACTAATGAGTTCACGTTCTCGAGGACAGTGGCCGACCATGTTCGAATAGTGTACAATGCCAGCTGAAAAAGCAGCAGCATCAAAGCTTCATCGGCAAAAGATCTCTCTCTCCCTCTCTCTCAGACACACAAATTGCCCACTAAAAGAGCAGCATAACCATAGAAAATAAAAAAGCAGCAATGTTAGTAGCTGATACAAAAGAATTTGCACCCCTCTCTCTCCCTTTCTCATACATACTGATTGAACAAAATGAAACTAGAGGTAGACTAGAGCTAATTACCACTATAGCGCCAAAGGGGTCGATCCAATCATCAATTGAGTTGGCGAGAAGGGCAGCAATAAGCCCAATGACATTGGTGATCACATCAAAGAAGTGATCTTGAGCATAAGCCTTGACAATCTCATTGGTGAAGGAGCGGCAATATATAACAAGGGCAAACTTCACCAGTGTAACAGAAAGCATTATTCCAATCACCCAAAGTTGTTGCTCTGCTGTCAAGGAGAACTCGTCTTCCTGCATCAAGCAAAGGACCCTTCAGTTATTTTACCTATTCTTTTGCAAATGGAAGCTGATGGAAATTTTAATAAACCACATTGAGTAACAAAGAAAGTTGGGAAAATATCTCATTATCCCCTATTTTTAATTTCCATATCTCATGAGACCCAAGAATTAAAAATATTACTTGTAAGCAAAGGTCCCTATCTTTTCTATCTTACAACCCTCTGGACCCCTTTGACCATAAATTTTTGACCCAAACAAACACTAAAATGATATCCTATTCAAACTCCATCGCTCTCTCTCTAAAACTCCATCTCTCTCTCTCGTCACTTCTCGATGAGTTTACCAACCAAGGGATTTAGCTTGAGCTCGAATACGAGCACATCTTTTTATGTGTGAGAGAGAGATGGAGGTTGGATTTTAGAGAGAGATGGAGTTTTAGAGAGAGAGAGTTTGAGTTTTAAGAAGAGAAAGTTTTGAGAGAGAGAGAGACGATGATGTGAGAGAAATGGAGTTTGGGTTTTAGAGAGAGATGGAGTTTTGAGAGAGAGAGAGACGATGATGTGAGAGAGAGATGGAGTTTTAGAGAGAGATAGAGTCATTTTATAAGTTGTTAAGATCAATAATACATGGTCAAAAGGGTTTAGAGGGTCAGAAGATAGCAAAGATGGAGTCATTTTGCTTACAAGTAATATTTTCAATTCTCGAGTCTGATGAGATATAAAAGTTAAAAATAGATAATAATAAAATCTTTTCCCAAGAAAGTTTGCTTATCACAATTAACAGATAATGGTTTTCTTCTTCATATCTTTGGTGTTTTTTCTTTTTCTTTTTTCTTTTTTTTTTGTTTTTGTTTTTGATCGTCAAATATCATATCTTTTGTTTTAAATAAAAAAAATAGACTGATATCTCATCATCTACAAATCCTCCTAATTTTTTATTTAATTTGCAGTCAGTTCAGACTTTTCTCGAAGGGGCAGAATGCTTTTGCTTCATTTCTTTGTTTTTTTAGCAGCTAGTTTTAGGATAATGTGCATAAATACTTTGATGCTCTCGTGATAGTACAATGGAGGGGGCCCTATTACCAGCTAGCTTATCCAAAATACATAACTGATAGGACAAATAAAAAAAAGTGCTTCAATTATATTTAACAAAAAGTACAGGAGCAAAAACCCCCAAACAATTTATGACTCTACTTTCAGATTCTTTCATGGACATGTAACTAATAAGATAACTACCATTTTTTACAGTGCTCCTTTTTTTTCATTATTATGACATAAATTCGTGAGAATGGTCAACAGCAAAAAGGCCAAACCCCTGAGAAAAACATCAAAATGCTTTCAAATTTTAAATTTTGGCTGACAATTCAATCAAGGAGAAGCACTTACATCAGATATGAGGGTGCGGACGGACTCTAATATTATCTGCAAACCCAGTGTGGCCATGACGGAGGCAAAAACTAAAATACCCTGCACATTCAGCACATGCATATCAAATAACACACTCATAATCTACAGAATCAGCCAACTAAGAGGAGCATTCTAAGCACCAATAAGATGGATAGTCCTCTCCCATTTAAGAGCAATGGCATATAATAACCCTTACAGTGAGATATATAAACTCATAAATGATGAAAAACATGCATTTCAAATGTCATGCAAATGGAAAGTTTTAGAATCTAAAAAAAAAAGACACAAATTATTGTAAGTTTCACATGTCCTTTAGGCTTAGTCTAGAGGTTAGATGTCCAGTTAGCACAGGAGAAATTAAGGATTTGAACTTTTTCCCCTTTTTGTGAATGAGAGATCAAGGATTTGACTGTTGATGTTTGTCCTGAAGAAAAACCATGCCAACTCTTCTACTCAGAACTTTAACATAATAGATACAATTATTACGGCTATATAGAACCTTCCGTTGTAGCCATGGGTCAGGTAACACCAACAAACTACAAGTGAGAGGCTGGTTACCATTCTGATGCCACAAAGAATCCTCCACCCCTACTTCAATATTACCTGGCCTTGTTAACAAGCTAAGAGCCTAAAACGTGATTGTGAAAGAAAAGGAGAGGGTTGATCCACATTAAACCTCTCAAACTATGAATTTTACATTCTCGGGGATCAATAAATTGAGAGAGAATAAGAAACCAAAAAGACCTAGGCCCTATGTTACATGGATTCTTTTGTTTGGGTGCCATACCCACGCATCTGACACATATTGATGCACCTATTGACACATTCTTTTGGATTCTTCTTGTTCACTAATCATTGACTGCATCACTGATGTAGACTTTGATCTTCTGCTTTCCTTTGAGTAGAGACATGAACTTTGAAAACGAGCATAAGTTCAACGAAGGCATAATTGAGTTTATTGACTACTCATCACGAAGTACTGAATAATGTTCGATTTTGTTCTCTCTATAATACAGCCATGTTGCCGAACCTTGCTCTTCCTGGAATGGGGAATGCCATACCCATGTCTGACACGTGCACAAGTCCATGCAACATAAATGTAATCCAAGGAAACCTAAGATTCTTCATTGCTTCTCTCTATTGCTTCTCTCCTAATTCAGTTTGCACTTTATTTTCTATTTTCCTTCCTTTCGATTTCCCCATTACCTCGGTTTAATTTTTCTTACTGTCCTGAACGTCTTACTTTCTTTCATGATAATGATTGACCCAAAAAAGAGCAAATAGAAAACAATGATAAACACAACACCGTAGACAACCTACTTGTTTCCCTAGTTAACCAGCTAAATGGAAATTATTGAAACCCAAAACCACTCCAACAATTTGGAGCAGAAACCTCACCTAGAACTACCAGAAGAAATAAAAGAGCATTGCCTTTCCATGAGCTGCTCCAGCTTAATCCATTTGGTTTTCCCTTATTTGTGCAGTCATCTTAAATTGTAACAGTTAAGAAGATTTGGCAGCCAGGAATTTCAATGAGACATTGATCCCTAACCAAGCAGTCACATCCAGCAGCATAGAGGCACCCACTAACTAGTAGTGCAAAAGGCATAGAGATCTTCCAAATATTCTATTCATTCCAGCCTCCTCTATAGTCCTAATTTCATCTTAAAATCAATCTCTTCTATCCTCTCAGTAACCTTATCTGAAAATTCCGCTTCTTTCATGTGCAGAACTTTAATGAAAGCCAGATGTCTCTTAGTTCCTACATTGCTTAATGACCTCTCATATCCCCCAATTTCCTTCTCAACATACAATTTTTTCCAATGAGTCATCCCACAACATCCTCACCCTCATGCCATAAACACAACACAACGTAACTTCAAATGTATTTGCCAAAGTAGAAAGGCGCATTGACATGGCTAGGATCCCCATCCACACCTCCTATTTGTTCATACCCTGGCCTTCCTACATCCTGAAAAAGGCATTCATTCACATGCTACTATCCATCTACAATTTGTGAAGCCTTTAGAAGCTTACACCCTACATGAACTCAGTGTTCCAAAAACTGCCGGGTAGTGCGTAGGAGGCTGGGGAAGTGTAGGCCACCCAGTGCATAGGCAGGCGCCCAGGAATCTGGGTGGCCTAGGTTCAAAAGTGGCCAAGGTGTCCAATAATCATGTTTTAGGTCAAGATTTTGTACAAAAAATGCATATCCGTGCATCTTTTATAATCCAAACAAAAAAAACACCAAAAATGCCCTACCCGATGGGAATTTTTGCACCCAGGTGGGTGCAGTCCCCAGGGACAACCCGCTTAGTTGGTCCGCCCAGGCCTGAGTGAGACGCCCTAACCCCCCTACCCACCTAGGCGAGTGCCTAAGTGCTGCGAACTGCTTTTTGAAACTGTTGTACCCTTAAGGGCATGCAGTCAAGGAGACCTCCATGATTTCCCTACCAGGAGTTTTGAATGAAATTCATGTTCTTGTATTTTTTTTGGGTGAGTTAGATTGTCGTTTTTGCACTCTTTTATATATTTTTCTTATTTAATTGTATAATGTTTGTTTTATTATAATTCACATTTAATCATCACGTGTTACTTCATAGCGTTTCATTTGGTTTTGTTTCCTAAAAAGTCCATGCAAATGCATTAGGCCCAAAACCAGAAAGCATTTAAAATTTTAGACCCACATAAGTTAGTGCCTAACACATAAAGTTCACATGCTCATGGGACAAACAAAAGTCCATTATCACTAAAGAAAGAAATATCAAACTATTACAATAAACAGTTGAGAAGTAGAATGCCAAGCTTTCGCCATTGAGCTTGGATTATCCCAAGGAACATCATTACGTCTCATCAATAGGCAAATATATAATGATGGTCATTCTTATGAACATATATTTATGAACAGGCATGCATGAAATGCATATGAAAAACCAAAAGTGCAACTATATCATGTGAATGATGATGGAAATGAACTGACCAAAGGTTGCATGCGCTTTTTCCCAATAGGGTATTGATAAGGGTTTTGTGTTTGCATGGAGAATGCAGTAAACCACAGAATAAACCCTGATAAAAGATCCAAGAGAGAGTCCAAAGTGGAGGCGATGATAGCCAATGAACCACTCCTCACTGATGCATACACTTTTGCAATAAAAAGAACAATGTTTGCAATGTTTGATATTCTAATTGCAAGTGTCTCACTTTTGGCAGTCCTTTCACGCTCTTCCTGAAAGAAAAACCACATTAAGTTAAAATATGCCCTATTGTATGAGACGAGGATGCTTTCTAGAACCAAATTCCTTTTCTCAATCACAAGCAAATAGAAAGCTTCAACATTAATTAGTGATAACTAAGGCCTACCTTTGACATTCCAGGAATAAAACCTCGTTGTGCTATGGTGTCCATCTCCATAAATCCCTCCAGCATTTCCTCCTGTTGTTGATAATATTCAGCAACAACATCCCCCGTACCTGAGAAATTTAAATAAGTGAAGCATTGTCAAAGCACGTATTGGAATCATTGCTATTTCCTAGTTGACCTACTAGATAGGAACATTACTAATTCCAATAATTACTTTCATATATTATAAAAATTTAATGAAATGGCTAAGAACTACAAAATAGAAATGGAGGTATGGGACTCACAAAAGAATCAACCACATTTGAATATTGGAATTTCATTCATCATGTCAAGCATTCATCACATCATTGAAGCCTTTCCGTATCTAAATTCAAATAAGGAAATCAATATCCATATCATCACTAACTCCTTGATGTCATAACAATGAACATAGTCTAGTTGAGCTCATGGACTACATCTGTGAGTCTCGAGGTCTGCAGACTCCCAAAGTAATCCATGCCCTTTAAATTAATTTTTTTTACATTATTATTTAAGTTAAATGCAAAAGATATTTTTTGTAACTTTCCAGTTTAACAATATAGCAATTCCTTCATCCACTTTAATCCCCGAAGAATGAAAATGTTTGGTAATCACACTATGTATCAGCAATGCATGTGTGCAACAAAAGGATTATAAGTTCATAATCATAAGATTCAATCCATATGACAGCTTGAAAAAAACAGTTGGATAGTAGTGTGGATAACTAATCTATGAAATACTTTCCCAAGCTAAGACATCTCATATAAATGTGATGCGAAACGCATGAAACATAACCAGCAGACAGGAATTCAAATAACAGTGGTTTGATTAAAACATTGTAAAATATTTATACTGCTCCAGCCAATTAATGAAAATGGGTATCAATATCATGTTTCCTAGTAAAGAGCCATAACTTCATGCCTGAATCTAGGACAAATGACCACTGTCCACAACATGGGAACCAACATACCTGTTTATCAAAAATTAAAAAAAAAAAATCAAAATGGATATTGTGTTTTTTAATAGAGAACTAACTAGTAAACCTCTCTTTCTTCTACAAAGATTTCACATTCACAGAAAACTTTTCACACTGAGAATCATCTAAAATTATCAGATCGATGAAGAAAATAATTCAAGGGCTTCCAATGATTCTCTTGGTGAATTTGCACTAACTGGTTTCAAATTTGCATTACCTCTTAGTTTCATAAGAAAAAAAAATTCGCATTATCTTTTAACCAAAAAAAAAAGTCTTATCTCTTGCCAAGAAAATGCCTAGTGATAGATATCCCAAAAGGAAATCACAGGTTCGAACCCAGAAGCTGTCCCAATAACCAAACCAACTTGGCCTTTTTTATTATCACAAAAGGGCTTCTAAGAAAATATTCATGCATCAACATAATATAATGACAAGGCGATCACCAAGAGTAAATTAGAGTGCACTGCATATAGCATCACTGCAGTATACATAAAAAGCAACGCAACGATTTCTGGTAGAGAAACTATACCATAGACCAGTGGCGCATACAAAATGATGCACCAGTCTGAAACCCACAGCCCACTCCTGAGAACGGATGGAGATTAACCATAGCTCCCAATGCTGGTCATTGACCAGTTGAAGTTAATCTCTACCCTTCATCATTAGGAACTGACGGTGGATATCCTCCGATGAACCATACACCAAACACTATGTTTTATGGTATATATTCGCATTCAATTATTCAAATTTTCAATTTGATATGGTTATTTAGAACAGTAAAACAGAGTTGTCAAAGGAGATTTATAAGTCACCAGAACCTATTTTCACAGAAAAGAAGAATATAAGTAAGCTACATGAAAAAAGACCAAAAGCACAGAGCTAGGAAAGAAATCAAACCCTTTGAGAACCAATGAAATTGTAAACCTTAAACATTAAAAATAATAAAAACTAAATAAAATAAGGAAAAATTAAATACCCTTTGAGGACCCCTTAAGAACGAAATTATAAACCTTGAGGACTAAAAAAAATTAAATAAAATAAGGAAAAATTAAATGCAAACTTGGAAAATCCCCTCATATAAAGGAGAAATGAGACTAATCAGTCACATATGCTAAACCCCAACGAATACATAATTATCAGAAAATAAATTAAAATAAATAACATAAAATTAATATAGTTATATAACAATAGCAAAAACATAAATACACCACAAACAAAAAAACAAAAAAAAGGCAAAGCAGGCAATTGAGAAAGAAAACCATCAACAATTTAAAAACTATAACCCAATAAACAAGAGTAGCAACTAACAAGACAACAAAAAGTTCAAATTAAAAAATAAAAAAAGTTGAAAAAGGGATATCATATAAAATAATAGTCATAGATTCAGGAGAAATCTAGCTTAAAAATATCACAAATTAATTAAATCAAAAGAAAAACAATGCACAAAAAGGAAAACACCAATAACTGAAGTAAGTATCAAGAAAAACAAATCCAAAACAATAAGAACCAAGCATAAGGTCTTTTGTCCTTTTGGTAAATAGCTTAAAGTAATATATATATATATATATTGAAGAACCTTAAAGTAAATACTCCAATTACAGAAAAAATAAACCAACAACCAAGACAAACAAATGATACATTTTCGTTTTATCAAACCTGCAACTAACTAATCCTACTATTACTGATACTAATATTATTATTATTATTAGTAGTAGTAGTAGTAGTAGTAGTAGTAGTAATAATAATAATAATAATAATAATAATAATAATAATAATAATAGCAATAATAATAATAATAATAATAATAGTGATGACGACGATATTATTATTATTCTTATTATTATTATTTCAGCTATAAATAGACATAGAATTCAGGGTGGGAATATGGTATAATTTGGAGAGAGCAAAAAAAAAAGCTTACTTTTTTCTTGACAAAGAACAGGGGAGAAAAAAAAAATCTAAAACTAAGAAGCGCAAGATCAGCGATAAAATAACCTCATTTTCAAAATGAGCCATCAAAAAAACCCAAAAATTTCCAATATAAACAAGAACAATCATTGTTGTCGTTATTATTACCAGTTTTAGATGAAGAGACAAACCTAAAACTCCAAGGCAACCATGGAGGCCTTTAGGACCCGATGCCTCTTTGGCATCTGAAACACGCTTGAAATCCTCAAAGTTGAGGCGCCATGAATCCCTGTTTTCGCCATTCTCCAATAACAGAAGCTCTGTAGCGCCAGCATCTTCGCCGGAAATGTCAGGATCCACCATTTTCCGGCCACCGGAAAATCCAATGCTCAAATAATCTCGTTTTCCTTTTTATGCCTGCATATACCAGAGAACAGAGTGGGAGACGTTATTTAGAGAGAGTGTGTATTTGAAACAACCGAGAAGCTCGTTTAAAGCATGTGACGAAAGTGCCCTCCCTTTTTGGGTTGTTTATTTTGGAAAATCACCCTTTATTGGGGATATATGTTTCGATTTTCCTGTTTTTATTGAACAAAATTATGAGAGAGTTTGGTGCATCTGCTGGCGTATCTATTCAAAGGACGTCCCCTTCATAAATCTATATTTGAGATGGAAGTCGGACCTAAATATTTGCGGGTGGAGGATCACAAGTCTCAAACAAGAAAATGGATTTTGAACTTCAATAGAAATTATTTTAAATTTTATCTTATTTTACACTAGTGTACATCTTAACTTTCATCCATTGTCGTGTCTATAATGTTTTATTTTAAAACTGCAAAATCATGGTTCTAAAGCTAAGTAAATTGTAAGTGATATAGGATGTGATTCAAATCCTTAATCATCCTCAACTTATTTATATATGTCGCTTGGGCCTAGTCTATAAATATAGGGTTTCATCTCAAGGACAACAAGAAAAGGTTGTTTAGTGTTGGAAAACTCTTATTGATGTTGATCGTGATAATTATGGATCTAAATAAAATAAATTTTAGGTTTAAAAAATGGTGTATCTTGTGATACACCATCTAAACCAACCATTTTCAAGGATTTATAAATCCGCTTAATCTGCATCATTTTTTAAGCTTCAAATCTCATAATTAAAAGTGGGAATAAACTTTGAAGCCATAATAAGCATTTTTTGTGCTAGAATATTTTTTTGAAGGGGTTTTCAGATGCGTGCCATTTTTTCTTTTTCTTTTTTTTTTTCTTTTTTAATAAGGACAAGGCCTTATGCCAAATCATACCTTTGAATCCTTTCCCACATAATTGAGAGTTGGTAGATTTTAATTTGGGATGGGTTTTCGTGTGTAAAACCCACCTACTCTAATTCAAACTCCTTCAAAAATTCATTCTATAAAGAGATTTTGGAGCTAAGGTATTTTTTTAGTTACAAAATCATGGATTTAAAGTGAAAATAAATGTGAAGGGTGGGGGGTCTATCGGATAGATATGGAAAGTAATATGGCGGTGTTGGCATATTTGAGAACGTTAAAAATGAGATCAAAGTGCATGTGGAAGCTGCCTATTAAAGGATGTCACAAACTGAATTTTGATGGCTCTTCTTTTGGGAACCCAAATAAAAAAGTAATTGGGGGTATTTGTGGAGATAGTGATAGTAATATTATCTTTTCCTATGGAGCCCCATCCGGCAAAGTTACAGCCAATCATGTTGAATTATTAGCTTTATTGCGAGGAATTTCTCTTTGGAAGGATAAGAACTTCCGGAATTCATTATTTGTAGAAGGTAACTCTCTTAATGTGATTAATTTGTACAACAAGTCTTCGAGCCCCTTTTAGCGCCTTATATCTTTGTAGTTGTAAGTTATGGATTTATTTTCTTCTTTCCCGCCTACCTTCAACCATGTGGTTGTAGGTTATGGATTTATTGTCTTTTTGCTCGCTTACCTTCAACCATGTGCATTGAGAGGCCAATTCTATAGCTGATGATTTGGCCAAAGAAGGGTGCTTTGGCATATTTGAGAACGTTAAAAGTGAGACCAAAGTACATGTGGAAGCTGCTTATAAGAGGATGTCACAAACTGAATTTTGATGGCTCTTCTTTTGGGAACCCAAATAAAAAAGTAATTGGGGGTATTTGTGGAGATAGTGATAGTAGTATTATCTTTTCCTATGGAGCCCATCCGGCAAAGTTACAACCAATCATGTTGAATTATTAGCTTTATTGCGAGGGATTTCTCTTTGGAAGGATAAGAACTTCCGGAATTCATTATTTGTAGAAGGTAACTCTCTTAATGTGATTAATTTGTACAACAAGTCTTCGAGCCCCTTTTAGCGCCTTATATCTTTGTGGTTGTAAGTTATGGATTTATTTTCTTCTTTCCCGCCTACCTTCAACCATGTGGTTGTAGGTTATGGATTTATTGTCTTCTTGCTCGCTTACCTTCAACCATGTGCATTGAGAGGCCAATTCTATAGCTGATGATTTGGCCAAAGAAGGGTGCTTTGTATGATGTATTAGAACCCTTGTTTTAATCTTTTGAAATGTATGTATCGAAAACATTGAAGTAATAAAATAGCGTAATTTTGTCGAAGTAATTTATGAGAGCCATCTCTAGAATAAGACTTTTGAAAAAGCACTTCATTTAAACTTTTCAGTTCTTAGTTATTTAGGGTGATGATTTTTCTTTAAAACGTTAAATTGCGTTTTGAGTTTTTATTGCTTGATGGATTTTTATTTTTTTAGCAATTATAAATTAATCTAATCCTTTTAGTAATTCCAAATTACCCTTTCAATTGGAGATTTTATTTTAATAGAAGATTCAAGGTTTCTTTAAAGAAATATTCGATGGTCTTCGCAGACGCAATATAAATTATTGCACTCACAACAAACTTTGCTGTCATTCTGAACTACTTGACTTTCTTTACGCAAGCATCGTTACGTTAATATAGTTACTTTACGTTACATTATGTATTTTTGCTTGATCAATTTTTTCAAAAAAAAGTGAATAAAAGCTCCAAATTGAGTCCCTCTCGAAAAATTTCTTCAGATCGTTGGTTTGATAAACAATTAGATCAAGGTTTTCAAGGACTCAAAATCTTTTTTCTCCATATCCTTTTTCTTTCAATTTTAGAGAGAATTTTGTAACAAAAAATGGGACGGTATAGTATGAAACAACTTATTTTTGGTAAAATCTAATAAATAAACATAAATCGCAATATTCGAAAAATTTTGTTTGGGATTTTGTGTCTAAACAATGACACATCCTCAACCACCCAATTTCAAATCTAACAAATCATAATGATGATCTCCTTGTATCAAAAGTAAATGAGGAAAAAAGCTAGAGTCGCATCCCCACATACTCTTCCCCCTGTCACCCTCAATTAACACCTTCAAAATGAAACTCTCTAATCTATATGCCCCTCCAAATTTTGGTATTATTGTATATATTTCCATATAAAATGAGGTGTGATTTTGTCTTCCCTGCAAAATTACCCAAAAAAAAAAAAAGAAGTAAATGGTATCATTGTATATAGTTCCATATAAAATTGGGTATAGTTTGTATAAGGTTGCACCCTTAAACAATCAAATTAAGGCGCACCTCCAAATTTTGGTACCATTGTATATATTTCCATATAAAATTGGGTGTGATTTTGTCTTCCCCACTAAACTACCCAAAAAAAAAAAAACGAAGTAAATGGTACCACTGTATATAGTTCCATATAAATTTGGGTATGGTTTGTATATGGTTACAACCTTAAACAATCAAATTAAAACGCACCTCCAAATTTTATCAATAATATAATTTTGGTGTCAAAAATTCTTAGGATGACTTTAAAAAATTTATAAAACTTTAAATTTTATAATTAGAGATTAAAATATATTTTAAAGCTATCACAAAAAGTTTCAATATCGAAACCACATTTCTCGACACTATTTGAAGGTGGGTTCTACTTTGATTGTTCAGGGCCTCGGCTCTATACAAACCGCACCTTTTTTTAAATGGCACGCGTATAAAGTAGGTTGCTGCCTGCGAATCACGTGTTTCCTTTAATCGTTTTTAGATGTCAAATTACAGAGTTAACCTTTGAAATCTGATAATTTCACATGGCAATAATCATTTTTTATTTTATTTTATTTTATTTCTTAATATATTTAGCTTGGCAAGTTTGGCGAGAGTAGACCGTAGTTATGAAGATTAGAACGGTGGACCGCTAGCGGGTACTTTCGCTAGTTCAATCAAAATAGAGTGATAAAATTTGGTGATTTTTTAGAGTGCTAACGGTGGACCGCTAGCGGGTACATTGATGGAAATAGGTCATGACCAAATTAGTTTTGGGATGGTACAGTTCCCGGCCCAGCTCTCCTTCTAAAACCCCTCAAATATTTTTTTTATTTTTTAAGTTTATCTATTGTTTTTTTAGGTCTTTTTTAGATCTTCATCCTATAAATCTCTATTTTTATTTTTATTTTTATTTTATTTATTTATATATATTTTTTGGATCACTGATTTGTATTGATATGGATTGTTGATCCAGCAAGATGACATGGCAATCAGGGTTTTAAAACATTGTCCAAAGCAAAAACTGGATTAGGTCAAATATCGGACCAGCTGGTTTTGACTAGTCAGAGCGATTAACCAACATTAAGTATTTTTCTTGTAATATATTTTATTTTTTAAAAAGTATTATACCCATTTTTCATTTACTTTGTTTTGAAAATCTGGTCCAACTAATTTAACAAGTGGTCGAATCAGTTTTAACTAGCCCAAATCCCTTATCAGTTCAGTGGCCGGTTAGATCTTGATAACACTAAGTAACATTAGGGTTGAGAATTGACACGATTTGGATCCGAAACCCATATTTCTGACCCTATATATATATAATTTATATCTGAATCCGACATATTATGAGGATCCAGCTTCAGATCTGAATCTGAATATCTAGTATCCATTTTGAACCTAGATCCAATATACTTGGATCTGGATCTAATCAGATCCGGCTGGGATCTGACCCATTCTCAACATTCTCTAGAACCTGTGCTGCCATTTACAGGCACATTTCATTGTTTTCTTTTAAATAAAAAGATTTTTTATTTTTCTATTTTCATATTGAATATAGTTTTGCACAACTCTCTAACTAGTACTTACCCAAAAAAAAAAAAAAGTCTCTAACCAGTGAGATACACTGGCATGTGCACATGCGCGCGCATGCACACACACACACACATATATATATATATATATATATATAAGGTGTCGAAAAAGTCTTCCCAACGACTATAGGCAAAAATGAACAGTGATTTCGCCTATCCTCATCACCATAAAAAATTCATCGCACGGTCACGATTATCCGATAGTGTTTTATTTTCATTTTTTTTCTACAAATCGGAATGATCTAAAATTTAGAATGTATGTACATATTAGTGAGTTGCACCTAATAAAAATAG